ATTTCAGAAAGATGCTTTCTTGACAATTCAAAAATTATGTGATAATCTAATTGATGAAAAAGCATTTTTATCTGAGTAAGTTTTATTTAAGAAAAAAATTATAATGTTTACTTTTAATGCTAATGTTTAATGTTCTTTGTAATGTAATTTTAGAGAGTTAAAAAAAAAGAATGAAGAAATATCACAGTTGAAAAAAATGGAAGAAGATTCATTAATATTAATTAAAAACTTAAAATTAAAAGTTGAAAAATCAAAAGATGATACTAAACAAAATGATAGTCTTAGTAGCGAATTAAGTAGTTTGAAAGATAAATTTTCATCTCAAAAAAAGGTAAACCTTTTTATTCAATTTTAACAAATTTATTTAAAAACATTTATATTAGAATTTATGTATTTTTTGTGATTTCAGGTTATAGAAGATTTAAGAACGAGTAATTTCGAATTGAAAGAAACACTCAATAAGCGTTCTTTAGAATATGACAAGCTTAAAACTGAAATGAAAATTTCTAAACTTGAAAAACAAAAACATGAAGTTTTAATGGCTGGAAAAGAAGCAGAAATTAAAAAATACAAAGATGAAATCAGGTAAAAAAAATAATAAATTTCTAAATCTATTCTATATCTTTATAATTTTTCTTAAATTAAAATTAAATTTTTTCAATAATTAGAGTTTAAAATTACAACTGATCATAAGCTATTTTAACACATATATATATATAATTATTTATAAATATTTATCTATTTGCTATTACAGAAATTTTCAAAAACAAATATCTGAACATTTGGCTTGTCTCAAGTCGAATTCCCAAGGTGTTGATCTGAAGAAAATGATTGAGACGATATTTCATAAAAGTCAATTAATTAATCAATCAGATTTTGATTCGACAATATTAAATAAAGGTTTTAAAAAATCACCTTCGCCCAACGGTCTTATTCATTCTACTCCAACGTCAAGTAAATCCTCTGATATAGATATATCATCATGGAATAGAATAAGTTCCATTAAAAATTATGGTCATTTAGATTATTTAAATGAAAATAAAAGTGGTGAATTTTATCCAGTGTATGGTAAAGGTGTTTCTTCTGACGTTAAAATGCTTGAATTGGATAGGAAAACAACTCAAAACCTTGGCAGCATAAATCCTTTAAAAATTTCAAACGCTCCTCCTTCTTTTACTAGTTGTTTGTCAATTAATAATAATGAGATAAACTTTGAAGAGGCAAAAGACATGAAAATTTTTAATGAAAATTTAATCGAACAAAACAAGGAAAATTTATTATTGTTACCTAAAGAGACTGAAAATAATATAGAAAAATTACTAAAAGATATGAAAATAAAATGGTCGAAAGAAGTTTATAGTACATCTTCAGTTAATAGTTCATTATAAAATTTAATTTATATATATATTTTAAGATTTTGTAAATAATTAATTAATTAAGAATTGGTAAAGTTTTAATGTTTCAGTAAAGTTTTTATTATAATACAATAAATGTAAGTTGTGGTGGTAATGGTGATATTTTCCATCATAATCAGGTAGTAAACAATTGATTCTTTCAAATGTCTGTGATCCTTGTCTTAAATTTTTTTTTTTTTTAACAACAAAATGTAAATTTTATAATTTTTTTAATATTAGGTACTTTTTATATGGAGTAATTTAATTTTTTTAACTTTATTGTAAATAATTATTTTTTAGCCGTGTACAGTATTTGTTAAAAAAAAATAAAATAGGAAATATATGTGTGACGTCATGGACAAAATAATTTCTAGTTTTTATTTTCCTCTATCAAAACTGGTATTGTTAGCTAAATAGCGAAATTTATTTAATTAAATTAAATTTTTTGTAAATTTATTTTGTTAAGTTTATTTAATATAAAATTAGGAAAATTTATAATTCGAGAATCGATTAATCGATTGTCAAAGGTCAATAACAATAATCACATCAAATGAACTACACGCATCCGTTATAAACAAACATTCATATATAAAATGACTACATTAAGACCTTTTACTTGTAACGATTTATTTAAATATAATAATGTGTAAGTGTATTTTTATTTTTTTTTGTAGATTTTTTTTTATTTTTTAAACGAAATGTTATAAGTCTTATAATAATTGACTTTAATTTTTAGGAACTTGGATCCATTAACAGAAACTGTATCCTTTTTTTTTTTCTCTGAAAGAAAAAAATAACAATAAAAATTTTAATTTTAGTTTACATGTAAAATAATATTAATAATATGAATTTAAAATAAGTTGATAACTTTAAAATTAGTAATTGATTGATACTATCAATGAAATTGAAATAAAATTCTTATAAAGTTTTACTAACCTCTCTGTTTTTTTTGTTTTAGCTTTTATGATAAAAAAAAAAAGTATAAACAATATTTTTAGGAAAATTAAATTTACAAAACATTTTTAATTGTTTAAAATTGATTTAATCAAATTATTTTAAACATGTTTAATTACTTGTTATATACATTGTATTTTTGATGTATTAAAAACCTAACCAATAATTTTTTAAGTATGGCTTATCATTCTACATGCAATATTTAGCACATTGGCCAGAGTTTTTTCAAGTTGCTGAATCACCCAATGGAGAAATTATGGGATATGGTGAGATTAACAATTAATTTTTCAAAGAAAGTTATAAATTTTGATAATAATTATTAAACATAATGGATTACAAATGTTTACATTGATCAATTTATATGATGGATCATTTGTTTTATAATGTAAATAGGCATAACATTTAAAATTTAAATATCTTTTACTTAAATTATTCGAATCATTTAAATTTATAGATTTATAATCGTATTTCAGTTAATCTTCAATTGTTTACATCTTATATTCTGTATTTAGTTTATTCTAGTATTCTGACAATTTGTATTCATTTGTGTTTATTCTAATTAATTGTATTATAAATTGCAATTTGAATTTTTTTACGTAGTACATAAATTTTGAATCGATATTTAAAGAGATAATAATTTTTGTAACTTTTAAAATATTGTAAATGTATTAATATTATTTGTTTAATGTATTTCAATTATGTGTACCTTAAAATACATAAAAATATTTTTTTTTAGTTAAATGCAATAAAAAAAAAAAAAAGATGAGTAATCGGTAAAGATAAAAATTTTACACATATTGACAGGTGTGACTTATTTATATTGTCACCCTTATTGATAATCGTTTATTTATTTATTTTACCATAACATCATACATTATTATTATTATTATTATTATTTGTATTTTATACAAACAGTACTTAAAATTTTTATTTTATTTTGTAAATTTTAAATTCTCTTTTAAATCTTTTTTTCAACGTTTAACAACATTTAATTATGAAAATTTAAATTTTTTAAAATTAATTAAATTGAAATATATTTTGTATTAATGGGGGGGGGGAGGGGGGAAAACAAATTTCTAAAGGTAATAAATTGAAATAAAAGGAAGTTGTCGGTTGTTCCTCTTCCTTTTTTTATATATATATATATAGGGGTCCAGGTGTTATCAGTATTTATTAGGCGTTAACTTATGGATCAATATCATGTGTGTACTTAGTGGTATTTGCTTTAAAGGTGATGATGACACGGAATCTACATTATCTTAAGTTTATTTAGTGAGATATTTTTTTTACATCGAGACATATTTTTAAAAATTTTACCTGAACTGTTTTCCTCTCACACTAACAAATTTAAATTGTTAGTTAACGTTTAGTAGTTGTTGTGTTAAGTTTTTTTGTTGTTTTTTTATGTAGTTATGGGTAAAGCAGAAGGACATGGTGAAAATTGGCACAGTCATGTAACAGCATTAACAGTTGGACCAGAATATAGAAGATTGGGAGTTGCAGCAACATTGATGGCATTTTTAGAAGAAGTATCAGAAAAGTAAGTATTTTAAATATATTATATTAAAAACTTACGTCGATGCATCCGTCGGTAGTTAAAAAACAAAAAAACAGAAAAAAAAAAAAGAAAATTTTTTTAGGAAAAGAGCTTATTTTGTGGATTTATTTGTACGAGTATCAAATAGAGTTGCCATCAACATGTACAAAAGACTAGGTTACATTATATATAGAACGGTTTTAGAATATTATTCTGGGGATCCAGATGAGGATGCTTACGATATGAGAAAAGCATGTTCTAGAGATGTGGATAAATTATCCGTCATACCATTATCACATCCCGTTCATCCAGAAGATGTCGATTAACTTTAACTTTTTTTTTTTTTATCCATTATGTGTTATTAAATTAAATTTATTAAAATTAACGTAAAAAAAAAAAAAAAATTTTCTTCTTTTTCGTTTCATTTCCCGCCATTATTTGATTATTATAAAACAGTCATTCTTATCTGCTTACACTGATAAGTCGTAAAAACAAATAAAAAAATTTTTAAGGTAAAAAAAAAAATCAAAATTCGGTTGTGAAATATTTTATTTATTTATTTATTCACATTCATATATATTTATTTATTTTATATTATATTATATATATAAAAAAAAAAAAACATTTCCTTTCGTTAACATTTATGATACGTTAAACAACATTATTATTATTATTATTATTATTATTATTATTATTATTATTATTATTATTATTATTATTATTATTATTATTAAACAGAAAAAAAATAAATAAAATGTAAATAAAAAAAATTATTTTTGTCTCTTATTGTTTTTTAATTTACATAAAAATGGCACATCAACTAGAGATTATTTATTTAAATAATAATAATAATAATAATTAAAAACAAAATCCGTTATTTATTTATTTATTTACATTGTAAATATTAATTAACGATGATGATGATGATGATTATGATGAAATGAGCATTGAAATTATTTTATTTATTTATTTAACCTTGTGATGTACATAATTATTAAAATAAATAAATAAATAAATAAAATAATAATATTTGTGGATATCATCAATAATTATAATAAATTAACGTAATAATTATAATAATAATAATAATAATAATAATAATAATAATAAAAATAAAAAAAGAAACCATATATATATTTATTTATTATCATCAACGTTTTATTTATTTATTTATTTTTTATTTTTTTTTACATAATAAAATATTTACACTAAATCATCCTAAAATTATTATTATTATTTTTTACAATAATACTTATTTATGTATATATTTTTCTTAAAAATTAATAATAATCTCTATTCTAATAAATCTTTGGTATTAAGCGCCTACCGATATATATTTATTTATTATTAAATTAATTAATATCGGTTTTAAAAAAACAATAAATAAATAAATCAATAACATAAATTTATGGATCGTCATTATTATTATTAATAACTACGCTAATAATATACACAAATCATTTTATTTTTTAAATTAATCATCTATAACAGTTTTAATATAATTATTTAAATAATAATAATAATAATAACAAACAATATATATGTGTGTGTGTGTGTAAGGAATTTAATACCCGATGATTATTATTATTATTATTATCACGTTAATAATAAATAAAAATTTCATTCATTCATTCATTCATTCTTGTTATTTATTCGTTTCTATAATTATTATTATTGTGTGTATATATATATATATATTATTATTATTAAGAGATCCATTAAATACGAATATTTTTATATTAGGTGATTATGATTATGATGGGGGGAGGGGATAGGGAAGTAGAGAAGGAGGGTAAAAGGGGAGGAGAGAGGAGGGAAGAGGGTGGGGCGAAAAACTAATTCCATATCTTAATAATTATTATCTAAGTACATTATAATAATATTATTATAATATTAAATAAAGCAAATAAAATATGCATACACGCACACGCGCACCCACGCACGCACGCACGCACCCACAAATAATAATAATAATAATAAAAGCTCAAATATTTAAATATATATATATATATAAATTTTTTGACTAAATAATGTTAATAAAACTATAACAAGTTACATTTGTTTTTGTTTGTTTTTTTTATCATTTTTATTTATTATCTTATTTATTTATTTATTTATTTTTTATATGTTTTGGGTTAAAATAATAATAATAATAATAATAAATTTTTATTTTTACGTTGTTATTATCATTTATTATTATTATTATTATTTTTTTGTAATAATTAAAGAAAGAAAACAAAACGTCTGGAAATTTTTTTTACAGTTTTTTAATCAATTTTTTTTTTTTTTTTTTGATAATTAAAATTTCAAAATGGCTGACTTTTTTTTTTTTAAATAAAAGTATATATGTATAAGAGTTGTAAATTTTAATAAAGCAATAAAAAAAAATTTTTTTTTTTTTTTTTTTATGGATTCTGATTAGATGAGTTTTATTCCAGACGTTTTTTTTTTTTTTTAACAACAACGAAAAATGGTCACTGCCATGTTTTATGTTTTTATGTTTTTCGATTGAGTTTTTTTTTGTGTGTGATATCATTTTAAACTTGCATGCTTATCGTGTTAAAATATTCAATTAATTATTTCGATTTTAACACGTACACACATCACCTGTGTTTAGTATTATTATTATTATTATTATTATTGTGACGCATGAGTTTAAATCATTTTTTTATTAAATCTTTAGTATTATTATTATTAATTGTAATAATATTGTTTTGCAGTTATAATTTCTGGATACGTTAAAAAGAAAAAAAATTTTTTTTTTTTTTTTTGCCTTATCAACGCCATTATTATTATTGGGCAAAAAAAAAAAAATATAAGTGGAAACACGTCTTACGATCTCAGCGATACACACAGTAAGTCGAACCGATAACAAATATTTAAAAAAAAAAAAAAAAATTTATTATTCGATTTTTCCCACAGTCATGTTGACGCTCGAATGCAGTCAATACAAGAACGTCGACGACAACGACAGGAGCAGCAGGAGCAGCAACAGCAGGAGGAGCACCGTTCACTTTACCTTTTTTCTTTTAAATTCAGGTAAGTTTTTTTTTTCTTTTTCTTTTTTTTCATTTGTGTTTGTTTGTGTTTGTATTAATTTATTAATTAAAAAAAAAAAAATTTCCATTTAATATCAAACAAACAAAAAAACACGGAAAATTTATTATTATTAATATTAATAATTTTTTTAAAATGGCGGAAAATTTTTTTTTTTTATAAATAGTAACATATTTAATTTAAATGATTGTTCTTTAGTCAGTGAATGAAAAAAAAAAAAAAAAATTTACCTGGAAATTATTTATTCAAACGAATCGGAATCGGATTCGGGAGGAACTGCTGGAGTTTCAGGTACGGTTTCGGTAACTTTTGGTTTTATCATTGTTGCTGCTTCGTATGCTGCCGTTTCTTCAGTATGAACATGTTCGATTCCAACTCTGTAAAATGAAAATTTACGTTTTATTATTATTATTATTTGAAAAATGGCAGGTGGTTCAATATCAGTTAGTAATTCTTTGGTTGTTTTGTATTCCAGGGGTTACTGATTGATATTTTACCAAAAGCTGTAATTTCAACAATCGCGTTATCATCAATGATATTATTTTGTTAATATTTATATTTACGTTGCAAACTCGAAACTTCCAGATTGCCTATTATTATTATTATTATTATTTTAGTGTGGGTTGATAATCTAGATTAGATACCTTCAAGGTCTCATGTATTTTGTTGTTATATATATATATATTTCTAGAAGCGGGTAAATAATTTAATCTCATTTGATAATTCAGCGGTTTTTATTTGAAATACCTCTGATTAGCATTTGGGGTCAGGATTATTCCCCGTCGAATCATATTTTTTTATATATATATATATTACTTACCTATATTCGTGACGTGCTAATTGTCTAACATATTTTTCCGGCGGATTATCACTGGAGGTGTTTGATAAGGAAACAGATCTCACCGTTGTATGCGATGCCTTCGAATCAATTAATTAAAATTAAAATTTCAATATGGGCCGTTGGAAATATTGTTAGAAAAAAAAGAAGAAGAAATTGGATGTACCTGTGTGGCAGGCATCGTGAATTCGACGTAAGCATATTCTGCCAAATTTTCTGGAATTTGATCGAAAGATGTCAACTGCATACGACATACCAAATTATGAGTTGTATAAGCTCCTTGGCCTTCTTTGGGTAGCCTGGGCATTCGCCAAACTATTGCGCGATGTTGATGTTCGTATTTAGCTTGTCCACTTGTAACTTCCATAAGACTGGGTTCTAGGGTATCGACGGCTCCCAAAAATCTTTCGATTCCTTTTATTTTTCCCGTCCTGAATAAAAAAAAAAAAATTTTATTTATATGTTATTATATCGTTATTGTTGTCTTTTTTAAACGATTATTTGTTTTTGCAGACGTATAATTAAATATTTTTTAACTAACCGTCTATGTGCAGATTTAACAGAACCGTAACGAAAATGTTTTTCTACTCTGAATAAATATATCCAGCATTCAGGAATTGGAAACCTTATCATGACGTCTTCACAAGGAATTTGTCCAAGTTTTCTACTGGCAAAACCTGGGACTAAAACGTCTGCTCGTAATTCCACCTATGAGAAAAAATATACAACTTAATTAATAATAATAAATTTTTATTTAATGAAGTTTTTTTGGTTTTTTTTTTGCTTTATGTATCTTGGTAATAATAATAATAATAATAATAATTTCAAAACTTTATTTCCTAGAATTCCAAAACATTCATGTTAATGAAAATTTTATTATGTTTGCTTGATGTAAGGAAATTTTCCCTTGGAACGTTATTACCTTGTTCCCGGTAATACACATAACTGCTTTTAATTGTAAAGGCAGTTCTCTATTTCTTGGTGGTCTTATCCTAAACCTCATGAGTTCAATATAGCATGCGTCAGGAGGTTTAAATCTGTTGATATTTTAGAAAGCATGTCAAGACAAACAAAACAAAATTATGATTCACATTAGTTTCCACAACACACGGTGAGATAAAATCAAATAAAAACCGTTAATGTTTATTAGCTATTTCTTACTTAATCGTTCTTGTTTTTTCATATTCTTCCTGTTGTATGCATGAATGAAATTCGACTGCTTCCAATCGTATCCATTCTTCCGTGACTACAGGAATTATATCATGTCGTCCTACAACTTCTTTCCCCTGTCTCCACATGTCGTTCAAACCCAATTCGACATCAGGCATTCCTAAAAATTTTAACAATCAATCATTTTAGCGATTACCAGAAGAATTTTAAAAAATTATATTAAATTTTAATAATTCACACCTGATAGAAATCCCAAAAAAAATAGCCTAACTCTTGCTATTTGTTTTTCCACGTGACCCACGGCATTCTGTTCGACGTAAATTTCATCGACGACCGTTATTTGAACTTCTTCCATCTTATAATTGAGAGCTCGATCTCTATGAACGGGCATTTGAAAGAGACATTCCTCGAGAGTGACGCTAAATTGTTTTAAATCTTCGTAGGACATGCAGCCAAGTTTCAAAAGTTGTGAAATCTAATCGGGGAAAAAAAAATTAAAAAATTAACGTATTTCACCCAAAAAAAAAAAAAAAACTAATTAATTTTTTATAATATCAAATTATTCAAGGACTTACTTGTGGAGCATGTTCGACTGGTAAACCCAATTTTTTCAAATCGCTCCCGAATTCTTTTACGCCTTGATAATCTCCTTGAATGGCATAAGCTGCAAATTGGCTCAGCTTGTTTGTTATTCTTTCGGCTTTGGTGACTTGTCCAGGCCGAACACCTGGCCGCTCCTTATAAAAAATGTATTGTAATTTAACAGTGAAAATTTTTCCAAATTGATCATATTGCTGAGCACCTGCATAAAGTACATACATTTTAAAAAATATTAATAAAAACTTAAAATACATAATTATAAAATAATAATTCGTACTTATGTCAGAAACGGAATAACAAGCTTGAAGTGGAAGTTCTTGAAATGGATCTCGATCCTCTTTTAAATTAAACAATTGTAGTACGGGATTGTCTCCCTGATAAACTAACTTGACAAATATTTTTTTCCAAAACCGTTGTCCCGTAATTTTTTTTTTATTAGGTTGTCTGAGTTGCATTTCCCATCCTTTTCCCGAATAATGAATTCTTGGAAAATCTTCTAAAGGTTGTGACATATCTTCATCGAACAAAGGGGTAGGAGGAGTTTCTTGCGAATCGGAAGTTTTAAAACCACCTTCGTAAGGTTCAGTTTCGCTTAAAGGTGGTAACTGAATTCTGAAAAAATAATAATAATAATAATAATAATAATAATAATAATAATGTAAATTTTGTTGAAACTTTTATAATTTTTTGCGATTAATAATGTAAAAAATTTAACAGAAATCATTTACCCTTCTCCAGAAGAAAAAGCTGTAAAATCTCCTTTATCGAATGGATTAAATCTCGGTGAATTATCGGAAAAAGCATTGTTTCCCATAGGCGATTTTGGAGGTGGTGCCAAAGCCGGAGTGATTTCTAAAATTAACAAGAAAATTGAAAGTTTATATTTTCATTAACAAAAAAAAAAAAACAAACAACTTGAATTGTTTTAATGTACTTTACCATTATTCACTTCAAATTGATTAAAACCTTCTCGCGGTTTAATAAAAATATTAAAACCTCCGCCTTCTGAATCTTCGCTTTCTGTTTTGTTTAACTTATTTGCCTTTTGTTGAATTTCCGAACTTGGCTGAGACATGGATAAAAATGCATCAAACGTGTCTTCCGTACCAAAACCTTGCTGATCTAAATCCGTGTTCTGCGTTGTTCCCCAAGCTAAAATCACATTTATTTAAAATTTTTTTTTTTTTAAGTATTTTATCCCAGATCTAATACTTATTAATAAATAAATAAAAAATTTCAGTTGATTCTAACTTACTATTGTACGATGATGGTTTTTCAGAACCTGAGAATGGATCGAAAAATTTATCTTCGGATACTTCTGTGTTAGATTTCAAATCGGTGCTTTCAAATTTTTTCGTAAAAGCATCAAAAGAATCAAACGAAGAATTATTATTTATCAGTTCTGCTGTTTCTAATGGTTTTGAACTTATTTTAGGAATTATGTTAAGTGGCTGAGCAGAATTTAATATTTCTGTATTTTGTTCAACAGATGATGGAGGATGATGCGGAGGAGGAGGAGGAGGAGCCGGCGGCCTTTCAGGAGGTTTGGTACCAAAAATATAATGAGTCTCCTCTTCTGCAAGAATTTTCGAGTCCATGGGATTCTCTTCCATAATTAGAGGTTCTTCATTCACGGTAAGTTCTATTTCACTATTAATATTTGTCGGTGGATTACTTTCAAGTAAACTTGTTGTCGATTTATCTATTTCATCGAGCGTTACGGATTTACTCACGAATGCAGGTTCTGCAGTTTTTAAATTTTGGTCTGGCTCAACAACATTAAAATCAACAATTTGAATTTCTTTATTTGAGTCCGATTCTTCTTTAGAAGTGAATAGTTCTGTTGTTTCTACTGCGGTAGTTAATTCGTTATTTAGTAAAGGTGGAGTAGACGAAGATATATCTAAATCATCAGTTAACAAGTCTTTAGGTGGAGCCTTCGGTTGCGAATATAAATTCAAAATTGCATCTTTAGTTTTGGGGGGCGGTGGAGCAGATGTTCCAAATAAATCAAACATATCTTCTTCTTGATTTTGTTTCGGTGGCTGAACCGAAGACACGTTTGTAGTTTTAGGAGGAGCAGGCCTTGCTGGAGCTGGTCGAGCTGGAGGTGGCCTAGGAGGTGGAACTTTGTCAAATTTTATATTTAAATTATTGTTATTATTAGTATTATTTTTTTCAACAGTTGAAAAGTCTTGTAAATTTTCCGGAACTGATTCAGTTTGAGGTGTTCCCAGCAAATCCGTAAATGCATCAGGAGTAGGGCTAAGCGAATGAAAATCAGGGAATGATGTAGGACTCGGTGCTCGAGTCGGTGGAAGGCGATCTAGTAAATGATGACTTGTAGCTTCCAAAGCTCCCGTAACGCTTAAAATAAGATCGTGAGTCTCTTTCGGCAATGTCGGATGCGGAGGAGGAGGTTTTTTCGGTTTCGATGCTTCTTCGTCGGAGGAAAGTAGAAAATCATTGTCATAATTGTTCGTCGTGGTGGTTGTTAATAATTCTAATTCTTTCGGTCTAACTTCTGATTCTGATGTAAATGATTTTTCTACTTCAACTATTTCCGGTTGAAATAAATCATTGCTCTTAATTTCGGGAACTTCTTTCTCGGTTGTCGATGGCCATGTTTCAACCTGATTTTGTGTAACAGATTGATCGTATTCGGTAGAAAAAGTAGCGAAAGGATTTGTTTCTGGCAAATTATTTGTTTCTATATAATTTTCTGTTAAAAACGGATTTTCTGTTCCGACCGTCTCATAGCTCATATCCGTTGTCAAAAAAGGATTTGAAGAGACATTGGTATTTGAAGATAATCCAACAAAATCTGTTTCATCATCCACTAAAAATGGATTAACACTTTTTGTAGTTTCTAAATCCATATTTTTATATAATAAATTTTAATCAGAGACGAAAACAAAATATTATTATTATTTTGTTAATATTCTTTGGCGAATTTATAAATCAGGGCGAAAATAATTCTGATTTTAATAAATCAATTTCCGCTTTTCCCGAATTAAAATTTGGTATTAAAGACGTATCAAATGGATCATATTCTTCGGTTGTATTTTCAATATTAACAGGAGATAAAGGTTTAAATATTGTAACAGAATTTTCGGAAAAGTTAAGTATATCCGTTTCTGGAGAAGCTAAAATAAAAAAAAAAAAAACGTATTTATTAAAATCACATTATAGGATTAAATTTAATTAAAAATGTAAAATACCCTTTGTTTTTGTCAATTCGTCACGGGGATTAAAATCGGGATCACTATAGCTTCGTGTAATTTTTCCCTCCGTTCCTGAAATTAATTCACTTTCTAAAACTTTTAGTTCAGCTTTTCCGGGAGCAATATTTTCAGCAATTGAAGTATCAAAAGGATCAGCGTAATTTGAAATATCTTCTTCAACCGCAGGAGTTAAAGCTTTGACAAAATGTTCTTCTTCGACAACTAGTAAATCTGGAACAACTAAAATTATTTTTTTTTTTTTATAAAATTTTAATTTTACCGCTATTTGATAAAATTTCTTTTTAATGACTATTTGTCAACTAATTTATTTATTTTAGCATTTGAAAATTTTGCCATTATGTCGACGTGTTAAGTTCTCGACTCAGTTTCAACACAAAATCCTTTAGATTGAAAAATATAAATAGTATAGGAAGTGTTATTTGTTATAAGTAGTAGGACGTGTTATATGATATTAATTTATAATTATATAATTTTTGTGGTAATTACCTGGATTAAATTTTAAACTGTTAGGAGGTTTTTTACTTGTTTGAATGACTTCTGAAAATCTTCTATTTGTTAAATTGAAATCAGATGTGTTTTGTGAAGAATTTGGGTCAGTAGAATTTAAATCCAAATCAGAAAAACTGTGCTTTAATCCTGTAGTGCTGGGGCAAGAATTCTGCAAAAAAAAAATTGTTTTAAACCGTTAAACATTGCATTATTCCATATTTAAATATTTAAAAATAATTTTTTATAAGACTTTCATTTACCTCGTTAATCCCTAATTTCTTGAATAAAGGTTCTTGAGGACTTTCAGTTATTTTTACGTTATTTAATTCTTGCTCGATTATTTTAAGTTCTGCTTTTCCAGGTAATGAAATTAATTTTGATGTGTCAAAGGGATCGTCAAAATCGCAAAATTCTTCTGATTCTTTTTCTTTTACCGTATTATAGTAAGGAGTTAAAGGTCGAGCACCTATAATTTAATTTAATTTTTTTAATTAGAAATTTAACAAAAAAGTACATATTCATATATATTTATACTTGCCTGTTGACGGTGCATTAATTAAATTATCGTTGGCGGTTATAATAGGTGAAGGAATATCAAAATCAACTGTTTTGTTTAAAATTCTTTTTTCATTTAAAAATAATTGATTTTGTTGTATATTCTCGTTTGATGAAAATTGTCTTTGAGATATGTCTGACAAGAGGTCTCCCTCTAAAAAAAAAAAAAAAAAAAAAACGGTTGATTCAAACATTTACAATTAAGTTTTTAATAATTTTTGGATTCAATTCATTTTTTTTTAAACAAAATTTTTAATAAAATAAAAAAAATCTAATTTTTTTTCGAGGAAAATATAAGGGTTATAAAGTCAGGGGAAAATTCATTTTGATAGTCAATACCGGAAATATTTTCTATCAATTCTCCTTCCGACTCAAATTTATTGTCAGAAATTCTTGAATTATTAATTTGATTATTTGTTTTTGAAAGGGGACTTTGTTCGCCAAATTTTGTTACTTCTTTAAAAATTCGCGGATGAAAATCTGAATCACTGTTATTTCGTGACAGGATTCTAGCTTCCTGATGGATATGCGATTTATATGCTAAAAAGCAAAAATTTAATTTTTAATTCCTTCAATCATTGTCTACAATGATCGTTTTGATATTGTCTAGAATTCTTCATCGTTTCGTATTATATAATTTTTACGACTTTTATTTTTTAAATTATTTTTCCTTACTCGATTCTATTTTATTTCCCAAAATTTCATCTTCGACCAATTTGAGCTCACACTTTCCAGGCTGTATTTTTTCTATAAACGAAGTATCAAATGGATCGACTTCAACTGGTTCCTCTGTCTCTGCAGAATCAAAAGCCGACCACTTACTATCGATCAAAGGTTGTTTAAATAATTGAGGAGAAGGTATTTTAGTATCAATGGCACCAAATGGATCAACTGCAAAACAAAACAAAAAAAAGTGTTCAATTTTCATACCTTTTTTATTTTTGAAAATTCATGTTAATTAGTCATAAATATTTTTATCAATAACATTTTATTATAATCACCTGATTTATTTAAAACGTTATTAACGGTGCTAGTGTCAAAGGGATCATCTTCCAAATTCTCATATATTTGCAATTCTTCATCCAATTTTTGATTAGCAACAGAACTTGCCGCTAATGCAGTAAATTCGTCAAACTGATCGTCAACTTCTTCGGCCTTAACAACTTCTAGTGTTATGTTTTGATTAAGAATATCAAATTCGCTTAAATCTTCATTTAATTTTTGACAAGGAACCCCTAAAAAAAAATTTATTTTATTTTATTTTTTTTTTTTCAAAAAAAGTATGAAACTTTAATTTTTTTGAACGATTAAAATTAATAAAAAGAGTTTAAATATGTCTATATACCTTCAGATTTATTATTAGATTCAAAATTTGTTTCTTGTTTCTCTAGACAAAGGTTAGGAATAAAACAATCTTGTGGTAAATCACAATCAACATCAATATCTTCATCTAATAATATTTTAGGTCCTTGAACAGTTTGTGGCTCTTGAGATGAAAATTGAGTAACGTTTTCGTCATCAAAACTTCCGATAAGAGCAAAATCTTGAATTTTTCGAGATCTAATTTTTGCCTTGCTGGAGACTCCTTCAACGTTTAATACATTCGATGCTCCAGATTCTTCTAATATTGATTTATCCCGTTCGGCTCGACCAGTTAAAACTTGGACCGCTAAACCAAGACTTATTTGTCGTTTTTTCTTTTCTTCTTCTTCCTGTACTTTTTTTAATATTTCTTCGGCGGATGATGTATCAAATGGATCAGGTTCTCCTGGTTTTATTATATCATCGTCTTCGGGTACAAAAACTAATTTAACTTCACCTTTTTCTAATGCATCCACGTAAGTCGTATCGAAAATATCATCGTTATTATCAAATTCGTAATCCGATTCGGATTCTTCTTCTTGTTCTTTGTTAAGATTATCTGTGGATTCGCCGCCTAAATTATTTTTATCTTCAAATTCTACCCATTGATTTTCTGAATTTTTATATTTTTTCTCTTCTTCTTCCGCCTGTAATTTAAGTTCGCTCGGTGTGGGTTTTTTTTGAAAAAAACTATCTTTTTTAATACGATCTAAATCCCCTTGAGATTTTCTTAAAATATCATCTACGCCAGCAGTTAAAGCTTTAAATTTTTCTAATTCTTCTGAAACGATTTTTTTTTCACCCGAATTACTATCAAATTCTTCTTCTGCTGTTTTTTGTAATTTTTCCCTTCTATATTTTTCTAATTCCTCTTCCGTAAATAATTCCTCTTCCCTGTGCTTGTTTTTTTTAGATTTCTTTTTTTTATGTAGTCCTTTACCTATTTTTAGCATATTCCAGTAAAATTAACATTTATACTTGTTCTGAAAAACAAAAAAAAAATTTTTTTTCTAGATTTTTTCACTAGTAAATTAAAAATTCCATTAAAAATTAATTATTCTATTGAACTTATTGAAATCCATCATTTTTTTATAATTATATGAAAAATTTTTATTGACCGGAATATATCGAACCTAAAAACAATTTGAATTTCATCTTAGGATTAAAATAATAATAATAATAATCAATTGTATTTTAATTAATTAAAATTTTTTAAAAGAAAACAAACAGAATAAAATAAAAAATCGATGAATTAATTTTTTTTTTTTTGGGGGGGGGGGGAGAATTTTATCGAATTTTTAAAAAATACTTACTCGTAACATAAAAAAGAATTATTATCATTATTTTTCCATAATTATTATAAATTTTATTAAATTTCCATAATTAAAATCTTAATTGTTTCCATTATTAATTTTTAATTAAAAAAAAAAAATTCGATTTTTTTTTTCAAATGTTATAATTTATACTACTATTCCTTTATTAATTTTTATATTTAAGATTTTTTTTTAAAATTTAAAACGTTAAAAAAAACGTTATCGTATTTTTAAATTGATATATTTCAATTATTATTTAAATATTTAATAATAATGATTTGTTAGTTAAAATTTGAAAATTTTCCAATACGATTTTTTTTGCAAAAATGATGCGTAGGAGTTTTTTTTTTTTTTTTTTTTTGAAATGGAGAGGTTTTCAAAAAGTTAGACGTGTCTGATTTTAAAATTTTGAAAAAAAAGTAATATTTCAATTCGAAATTAATATTAATATTAATAATTTTGAATTTCATTTATTATTATTAATATATTGAAAAAAATGAATGGCCAAATTTCGATATTCCTTCAAAAATTTTTTTTTTTTTTATTCGTTAATAATTTTTTTAAAAATAAGAGAAATTTACTTACGCTGCTGCGAAGCTTTTGCTGTGCAGCTTTTTCGATGTATTCTCATTTTAATATTAAATAAAAATTGTTTTTAGTTTTATTGTCACTTTCAACGGGATCAATTATATATAATTATACTTGTAAACTAAATGAATTATTTAGTAAATTTATATAAATTTCATTTTATTCACCTTTACTTTTTCTAAGGGATGAAAAAAATGGCGGATGAACCACGCTCGAAATTTTGCGGGTGCGTCATGTGATTACTTTCAATGACGTCATTAAAAAAATGTCTTGCGCAATTTACTTTTTTTTTTTAGAAACCTAAGCGGGAATTCTCAATAATTTTTTATTTAACTGACAGTTTTTATAATTTTTTATTTTCTTTAAGTTAAACTTATGAATTTTAATTATATTATTTGTTAGAAAAGAATTAAAATCATAATAATAATTAATAGATAATTTTGTTATCTTTAAAAAATGTGATAAATTTTTTTTAAATTTGCATATTACTAAAGATAAAAAAAAAAAAAAAAAATACGTTACGAAACATTTTAATATTTTTAGTAAATGGCAGTAATCTAATATTTTTTTAACGTTTTTTTTTTTTTTTTTTTTGTAATTTTGACCTTTTTATAACTAATCCAAGGGGGCGTTTTTTTTTTTTTTTTTTACGAATGATTGTTGCCAAAATAATTTATAAAGGATAACATAAATTTCATGTAATAAAATTGAAAAGTTTGAAGAAACAAACTCATTAATTAAATAATCTTATTCTGTAAAATATTTAAACAAAATATATATATATATATAACAATATAATTAACAATTTTATTAAATGTTTTCCTAGAAAATTATACTATTTTTTATTTAAAAAAATTTTAAGATTAGATAAATGAGATTTATTTTCATTATATGTATTCACGTCACATTATTTTAAAACATCATATATTGTTTTTTTTTTTTTTAATTGAGCAATTATTAATAAACTTTGTATTTAAATAAAAAGAAAATAAACAATCAATAACAAAATAATAATATAACAATAATTAAAAAAAATACAATTTTTTCGGTTTATGTATAAGATATATGTAATGTAAAAAAAAAAAATTACTTTGCAAAAGTAAATGTTTTTTTTAACAATAATTGTTTAGAATTTGAGTTTCAAGTTGAATATTCACTACATACTTAATAATTAATACATAAATAATAATATTATACGTACTTATTAATGTATGCTATAAAAATACATAAAAATCTATTGAATAATATGGCACAGAGCTAAAGTACGGCAAGAGCTCCGGAGATTAATTTTTTATCTTTTTTTAAAATTTTTTGTAAATTAGGGAAGATTCGTATATAAGCTTATGTAAATAATACAATTTTTTTTTTTTACAGCTTTTCATCTTATTGCATAACAGGCATGGCTACAGCAGCTTTAGCATCAGTAGCATCTGATTGTCGCCATAATTGAATCACAGTCTTTGTTTGGGTATAAAAATTTATCCCCTAAAACAAGAAATGTAAAGTTTTAATTTTTTATTTTAAGTAAATATTAGTTAGACAATGGCAAAATTTTGCAAACCTGTTTTCCGTAGAAATGTAAATCTCCTCTGAAACTGTCGCGACTACCGGTAAAAGAAAACATTGGTAAAGGTACCGGAATTGGAACATTAACACCGACTTGTCCAACGTCTATTTCTTGAGTAAATTTTCTTGCAGTTGCACCGTTCGTTGTAAAAATAGCAGTTCCATTTCCGTAAGGGTTATCGTTAATTAAAGATATTGCTTCGTCTAAAGTATCAACAGAAAGAACCACAAGAACAGGCCCGAAAATTTCTTCCTTGTAACATTTCATTGAAGGCTAAATATTATTAAATAACAAAAAAAGTTATTATTATTGCATTACAATTAAAAATTATACATTTTATAAGGACTACAATAGTTTGATAATACTACCTTTACATCTGTCAAAATAGTAGGTCCGACAAAATTTCCAGTTTCAAAGCCATGGACTTTAATGTTTCTACCATCTAAAACGCATTTGGCACCTTCATCAATACCAGACTGAATTAAATCATGAATTCTTTTTTGACTTTGAGGGGTAATTACTGGACCTAAGTCAGTTCCAGGTATGTGTCCTAAGAAATTATAAAAACTTTGTAAGTATAATTCCTAAAACATATCCCCCACAATACCTTTGCAATTAAGGTAAGATGTAAAACTTGCCAGCATTAACTTTTAATGCTTTAGCTCTCTCAACCAAATCTGGCAACCATTTTTGTGCTTCTCCTACAAATACAGCAGTGCTAAGAGCCATGCATCTTTGACCAGCTGCTCCGAAAGCTGCACCTACTAACTGGTTCAATGTGTGCTCTTTATTTGCATCTACCATAACAACACCATGATTTTTTGCTCCCATATTACACTGAACTCGTTTTCCGCTTTTCACAGACCTTTCGTAAATATATTGCCCCTGAAAAATAAAAAATTTTAGATATAACTAAATTAAATGATACTGGACAACTTTTTAAGGGGTAAATTAAAGTAATACTAATTAAACACAAAAATTTAAACTAATTAAACAAAAAAAATTTAATGAACACTTTTTATTTTTAAAACTTACAGCTGTTGTAGATCCTACAAAAGATACTGCTTTAATTTTTGGATGATCACAAATAAAATTTACTGCATCATGGGCTCCATGAATTACATTAACTACTCCAGGTGGACAACCTGCTTCCTGAAGCATTTCAATCAAAAGCATGCAAGCACCAGGATCTCTTTCTGAAGGCTAATGTAAAAAATTGTGTAAGCATTATTTCTTTGTAATTTGTACAGGTAAAAAAAATAATGAATTTGATAATACTTTTTTTTTTCAGATTTATTCTTTGCGAACATACCTTCATTACATAAGTATTGCCACATACAATAGCAACTGGAAACATCCACAAAGGTATCATGGCTGGAAAATTAAATGGTGCTATTCCTGCAACTACTCCTAATGGCAATCTATATGAATGAATATCCATGTCTTTTGAAATGCCTGAAAGACTCTCTCCCATTTGAAGAGAGGTAATGCTGCAAGCATGTTCAACAACCTCTGTAAGAACATATTATATTTTGAAATGTATTCATATTAGATTAAATCTTAAAGTGTGCTGATAAATGTTCAACTCACGAAGGCCTCGCAACACATCCCCTTCAGCATCAACCATCGTTTTGCCCTGTTCTAATACTATATTTTCTGCTAATTTTTTAATATTATCTTTGATAATGCTTTGATATTTAAACATTATTTGTTGTCTTGTTAAAACAGAAGTCTTAGACCATGTTGAAAATGCTTTTAAAGCTGATTCGACAGCAGATTCCATTTCTTCTTTAGTTGATTCTGGAACTTTGGTTACCAGCTAAAATACAATAATTGAATTTAAGCACTAGTACATTAAAATTAGAAATAAAATTTAAAAAAAAAAAAAACCAAAAAATTTGTGAGAAACTTAAAGTTTAAAATTCATTTCATAGTTTAATAAATAGCTGCTGATTCTTATTAATAAATTTAAAAAATTTGATCAGATATTTCTATAGAAGGTACTATTGTAAATTACAATTATCTTTGCCATTTTTACGGAATAATAAAATTATTAGTATTGGTTAATACGCGAAAGTTAACGTTTTTTTTTACAGGTTCTAACTATCGAACTAGATTTTAAAATAACAGCAATAATAATACAAATTTTTTCTAAGCGTAATAATAATAAAAAAAAAAAAACAAACTTCATTATTTGCTGGATTATGAAGATCTATCCATTTCTTTGAGTTGGAATCCATAAATTGGCCATTAATAAATAATTTTGTATTCACGGCTTGACTTGAAGTTGAATAAGTTCTTCTAAGAAGAACTCTTGTTGCCGAAATGCAATAAGACATTTTTTAAAAAAAGTTCTAAAAAAATGCAAATAATCTGAATGAATTTATTATTACACTGGTGGAATGTCAAAGGAGTTCTTATCATGGGGGGCAAATAATTTAATTGGGTGACCTTGAAATATCTAAATCTGTTGCCAAGTTGTCGGAATAATTTAGAAGATTATTTGCGACCGTAGCAAATAAATTTATATCCATATTTTAATTTAATTTAATTCTTTCAAGGTTTGCATAAGATAACAGAATCATTCATACATTTGTAAATTATATAAGTTATAAGAAAATGTTGGCAATCTTGATTTATTTGCTCTGTTTAAGTGAAGACTTTTAATCGTCTGCTGTGAAACATGTTTAAAAACTTTGTTAAATTGTATTTATTTATTTATAAATTCTTTAAATGCGGTTGCAATGGAAGAAAAAGCTTGTGAAAAGTGTTATGAAAATTTAACAGGTGGTGAAAGAACTAATAATCAAGATTCGCGTACTAATTTATTGAACGATTGTCAAAATTCAAATGAAACTATCGATACCACAAATGATAAAAGTGAAATTACGGTATTGGCGAACAACTTAGATAAAGCTCTAACTGTTAACCACAACGATAAAAATTTACCTAATGGATTATCATATGATTCTGTTGAAAATAATGAAATAGAATATGTTTCCTACAGATCAGAACTTCAAATGCCGGACATTATGAGACTAATACAAAAAGATTTATCAGAACCTTATTCTATTTATACTTATAGGTATTTTATTCACAATTGGCCAAAATTATGTTTTTTGGTAAGTACCTATTATAAATATTACTTTAAATTTATATTTTAATTGCTTTTTAAGTTAAAATTTTTAAACTACACAAATCTAAATTGTAGCTTTTAATTTCATTAACTTTTTTTCAATTTTTCATTAATGAAAACATTTAAATCTATGAAAAATTTTTTGGAAAATTTGTCGAGTCATTTATTTAAATTACTTTTAATATATATATATTTTAATGTTTGTTATTCTTTTGATGTTCTTTTTTGTGTACAAAAAAATTGTATTAAAAATAAATTTGGTCCTACTAATTTAACTATTAACAATTTGTGATTATTCTAAAGCTGTAATATATTTCTCTGTAATTTTTTTTGTTACTTTTTGTTTTTTTTAGATTAAAAACACAAAATTAATAAAAAAATATTTATATTGTATTTTCAGGCTGTACACGAAGGAGAGTGTGTTGGAGCTGTTGTTTGCAAATTAGATATTCACAGAAAATTGGTAAGACGTGGATACATTGCAATGTTGGCAGTTGATCAAAAATATCGTAAAAGAAAAATTGGATCTAATTTAGTTTTGAAAGCTATCAGAGCAATGTCTGCTGATAATGCTGATGAGGTAAGTTATTTAAATATATTTTTCAAACTAACATTTTCCATTTAACTTGATTTTGTATCTTTAGTAAGAAATAAATCAATTATACTAGTCTGACCCTGCAATCAATTTAATTGAGTATATATTCAACGAAATTTATGTTGTTTGGTATTAAAGAGAGTTTTAAACATTTTAAAATTAAATTTTAATCAGAAACTTGTTTGAGAAAATAAACAAACTTTTTTAAATTTAAATCTCATTTAATGTATTATAATCAGTTTTATAAAAATTAAAAAAAAAATCACTTAAATCTTTTTATAGGTTGTTTTGGAAACTGAAATAACAAATCGCCCAGCTTTAAAATTATATGAAAACTTAGGATTCGTCAGAGACAAACGACTTTTTAGGTATTATTTAAACGGAGTTGATGCACTTAGACTTAAACTATGGTTAAAATAATAATATTTCAAATGCGAGAACATAAAGTTTGAAAATATATTCATTAATTTTTAATTTAATTGAATTTGTGAATTGAATTGGTTTTTCTTTTTTTTTTTTCTCTCTCTCTCCTCTATTGGAAACAATATATATAATAATTTAATATAATTTTCGATTATTCGGAATTAATTGATTATTTGGTATGAGATAAAAATTCTTCAAATTAATTTATTAATATATTGCGTTGGAAAAATAATTTTTGAATTCGTTATTTTTGCCCAACCAAAAATAAACCATAATTCTAACTTCTCAAAATTTTTCTTACGGTAAATTCTAATAGATACTTTTAGCTTTTTTTTAATTTTTATTAAACGTCTAAATGTAAAACAGGAGTCTCTCAGTTTCTAATCATTTTTTAGAAAAATTGGGTTGAAATGTAAGGAAATCGTCATTAAATGAAAAAAACAAATTTTTAGGTTTTAAATTAAAATTTTATTTTTAATTTTAATTAACAATTAAATCATTCATTCAATTTTGATCAGGTAAATTTTTTACTTTTAGTTTTCTTTTTAATATTTTGTACTAAACGTGATAATTCTGGATCTTGAATCTTTTTCTTGCTCTCTCCTTCAGTAGAATCTATTTTTTTTCCCTTGAAATGTACGTCATTATCCTGCAAAAAAAAAATTAATATGGTATAAATTATTAACCGATAAAAAAAAATTTAAAAAAAAGTGAAATTATATACCTCCATATCTCTTCTTTTTAATTTTTCTTTAATAAGTTCATTTGTTGCTTTTGTTGCTTTAAATTGCGGATCTGCAGGGTCAATGTTAAAATGATGAGACGTGTATAGGGCAGAAAATCTTTCATCATTAACATCAATTTTAAAATTATCACAATAATCATCATCTACTGCTTTTCTTTTTTTTCCTTTTTTATTTTTCTTTGTTTTTTCACTTTCTTCAATTTTTTTCAAACTGAAATGCTTATCTGTACTATTATCCGCTAATAATAATTCTAATTCGGCCTGAAATTGAAAAACAAAAAAAAAAATTAAGTAATTTTAAAAAAACATAAAATAAATAAAAACCAAAAATTTTTTTTTTGTATTGTTACTTTTTGTTTTAAAGTATTCTCATCTTCTTCAACTTGAGCCGGATTATTTCTTTTTACTGTTTTTTTAGTTTTGAAATTTTTTAATTCTTCTTTAAAATACGGATCGTTTAAATCAATGTCCGAAGGAATATCATCATCGCTAAAAGGAGCTTCTTCATTCGAATCCTGTTGTGATTCCTGTAATGTTCAAATAAATTTTTTTTTTTTTTAAAAAAGAAACCTAATATAAATTAACAAAATAAATTTTTGAAAAACTAACCTCGGTAGATATGAGCGATTGTTTTTCCAATTTTTTCTTTTTCTTTTTATCTTTTCTCTTATCCAAATATTGTTGAAAAGGAGTTTTAGATTCTTTTTCCTTAGATAATTCTTTTATATTTTCATTTGCTTTGTTTTCTAAATCTAAATTCCACGTGACTTCCATGTCAACTTTATCTTTTTGTTTTTTAATTTCATTCGATTCCACTTCTGATAGTAATGCTTTGTATTTATCAATAAAACTTAATTTATCATTAGACTTTAATTCTTTTTCTGTAATAAATTTTGTTTGAAATGTCATTTTTAGAAAACATAAAAAACCAACAAATTTTTTTCTTTTTTTTTTACCTTTAGTGTCTTCAATTAAATCATTCTCGTCTTCATCTTCTGATGAAGAACACGCTAAATATTTTTTAACCACGCTTTCATCAGTTTTTCCATTGTACATGGATCTCACAATTTCCTGCCTATTTACATCTGTTTCATCCCATGTTAAATCCACTTTTGCTTTTGTTAATGCTGATGTTATGAAATATTTGGGTTTGTACAATGACAAATCAGGTAGCAAAGTACATTCTTCTTTAGGTTTCTTAAAAAAAAAAAAGAAAACTTTCAAATTACACTGTTTTTCATATAAAAATTAATTTTAATACATTTTTTTAAAATTTTTCAGTTTAAGAAATTACTCATAACACTGTTATGAGTCATAATGAAAAATTGAATTAAGGTAAAGTATATTTATTTCATAACTAAACTATTATAAATAATTACTTCAAATTTAACTTTAATATTATTAATTAGAAAAAAAAAGCAATTATTAAATTTTAGTAATACCCATAAAAAATGAAAAAGTTGATTTATACTTGATCAAATGTTGTATCATCAGGAATAAAACGAAGATCTAATCTGCTGCTTGAAGATTCATAATCCAATCCATCGCACTCTTTATAAATAACATCAGCAGTTTGTGGCGAATCAAAAACAGCCACAGCATAATAATATCTTAATCTGTTTAATTGATATTTTCTTAGTTTTTCCATTTGAATTTTTTGAAGTTCTTCTTCCTACCATTAATTAAAATTATTTAATTTACAGTATTCAACATGTAAGTATTATTATAAGATATTAAAGAAAAAATCTGAAATTACATTAACATCAGGCATGGTTTCTGTTAATTCTGCAGGTCCCTTTTCTTCTTCTTCTTTCATTCTTTGAATTCCAAAATCTGATGGATATATCTATAATGAAATTTATTTTTAAGAAAATAGAGTAACAGGTTTAATAAATAAAACACTTTGAATATTACTTGTATTTCTCAATATGTTAATGATTTGTTTTTAATTTTATATTCAAAATTATTACTATTACTTTGAAAATTGAAAAATTTAAAATTTTTGTCAGGTAACATTTATTATTTACAAAACAGGAAAGACTTACTGTTACAGAATGTATAATGCCACCAGATGGTAAAAATGAATGGAACAACACCATTAAATCAACTGCTTCAATTCTATCCCAATTTAAATTACACACTGCTAATCTATTTGTTGCTTCATCAGTTTTTTCCGCATCTTTGTCAAGCTCTCCCCAACCATGATTAAAATCAAAGTCATCTTTAAAACAAATTTTAAACAGAAGTTTAATTAAAAAGAAAAGTTTAATAACATTAACAGTTTAAGTTTAAATAATATAATCTTTTTTTACCTTCAGACTCAGAAGATTCTTCTTCAGAACTGCTATCTGAGTAAATTTTTCCTTCCCCTCTGGCATAGTCTACAGACAAATCTTTTAATTTTTTTTTAATATCAGGTGTTAATGCTTTTTTTTCGCTTTTATTAATTTTTAAGAGTTTTAAATCAGAAAGTCTATTTTCGGCATTTTCAGCATCTTTTTCGTCATCATTCTTGCTTTTCAAATCATCTTCTGTGTCTGATAAATCATAATATCGCTTTAAATCATCTGATTTTTGTAAATTAACAGATCTACCTCGTTTATCAACTTCGTATTTAAGTTGAAATTTTTTTTCATGAAACATAGACTCAAATCTTTTATCTATTTTAACCTTTACTTCTTTTTTAGGTAGCTTTTTAAATTTGGCATCTTTTAATATATGCGAAAACCTAGTATCTTCCGCGATTTCCCGCATTTTGTCAAAATTTTATTAAATATTATACTTATACTAGAATCAACACTTACACTTGAAATCAAAGTGGTCCGCGACAAAATTCACGTGTTTATTCACTCTCTGGTTTTTGTCGTAAATAGTCCGAGTTGTCGCTAGCTTGGGTATTTATAAAAACAAAAATTATTATTATTATTTATATTTAGTTAAAGTAGTAATTTACTTTCCTTTAAAATGAAATTTTTTTCTTCGATAATTTTTTATTTGCGTAATAAGTTTTATACTTTTTGATATTTAACATGGGCTGATTATTTTATTGGCTTTTCTAACTAGGAATCATGTTATCGGAAGAATATGACGATCCTGATGCAATCTGCGAATCTTCGGTAGGTTTAAATTTTGAATATTAGTGTTTTATGCAATTTCAAATTTATCACAACCAAAATAATTTATTAAAATTTTACAATTAGTTCCTTATTAAAAGTGTTATTTTCTTATTCATTGGTTACTGTAAAAAAAAGTGTTACATTTTAATAATTGCTTTTCAGGCATCTTTGGTTGAAGGGTGCCGTTTACCGGTTCGAATGCGTTTAGGAGATGATTGGCGTATGTAAATATTAATTTTTAAAATTAAATTTTTTGAGTTGTCGTATTATTAATGTATTAATTCAATTGTATAGTATGCTATTGCATAATAACTTTTATTCACAAACTTATATATGACATATTATTTTTTTTTAGCACTGGCAGAAATAATTAGTATCAAAGACATCAAGGGGATTATGCAGTTTTATGTTCATTATGTTGATTGTGAGTATTATTTTAAAAAATACATATATAAAAGTATTAATTTATTCAATTTAATTTTAAACTTTTTTTTTAAATAAAAATTTTTTAGTTAACAAAAGATTAGACGAATGGGTAACAGAAGAAAGACTGGACTTGCGAAAAGTTCAGTTCCCTCGCAAAGATGGTACCAAAGAAACAGGTTGTGCCACACCAAAAAGAATAGGCTTAGGAGGAGGTCAAATACCAAACAGTGGTGGATCAGGTACTATTCAAATTAAATATCATCAGCATTATTATTTGAATTAATTTTTTTTGAATAGAACTTTCTAATTAAACAAATAAATTTTATCGTTAAAATTTCATTAATTAATTACAAGTTAAAAACGTTAATGCTTTGTATAATAAATTAAATGTTAGCTTTTTTTTTTATTAAAATAATTAATAATTTTTATATCTTATTTTATAGTTACACCTCAGCCTGTGGAAAAGGAAAGACAAGCTTCAAGGCCAACTTCTCCGGTTACTCCGATTCAATCGGATTTTATCAGTGGATCTACAGTTTTGGCATCGGCTTTGCAAAAAAAAATGTCCAGGAAGAGAAAAGGAACATTTACAGAATCAGAAACAAATTGTGTCACTGTAATTGGTTTTAAGATTGGTTTAAAGTATTTAAATGAAACTTCTTGAATTACTAAAAAATTTTCATTTAAAGGATTCATTAGATGGTTCTCCGGCAGCTCCTAGACTTACAGGAAGTATGGTTGCTCATGGTTCAGATGATGTAGTCACAAGAATGAAAAATGTAGAAATGATAGAATTAGGACGGCATAGAATCAGACCTTGGTACTTTTCACCTTATCCTCAAGAACTTGTTACATTACCATGCATTTATATTTGTGAATTTTGTTTAAAATATACAAAAACTAAAAAGTGTTTAGAAAGGCATTTGGTGAGTTAAAAATTATAATAATAAACAAGTTAAACATTTATAACTTCTTTCAAAAACGAAGCCAATATTTTATCGAATGTAAATAAAAATACCAATATTTTTTTTTTTTTATCACTAGGTAATGCTGTTGTATTTTTTATAATTTTCTTTTTACAGGCTAAGTGTAATTTGAGACATCCTCCTGGTAATGAAATTTATAGAAAAGACACAATATCATTTTTTGAAATCGATGGACGTAAAAACAAAAACTATGCGCAAAATCTATGTTTATTAGCCAAGTTATTCCTTGATCACAAAACTTTGTATTACGATACAGATCCCTTTCTTTTTTACGTAATGACTGATTATGACAATCGGGGATTTCACATTGTTGGATATTTTTCAAAAGAAAAAGAATCTACCGAAGATTATAATGTTGCATGCATACTTACCTTGCCCCCTTATCAAAGAAAAGGATACGGGAAATTGTTAATTGAATTCAGTAAGAATAAAAAAAAAATATTAATATAATATTCTTCAATTTTTTAAGTCTCCCAATCCTTAGTTTATTTAAATAATTGTTTTTATATATAAATTTTATTCAATAGGTTACGAATTATCAAAATTTGAAGGAAAAACAGGGTCACCTGAAAAACCTCTATCGGATTTAGGTTTACTTTCGTATCGGAGTTATTGGGCTCAAACCATTCTTGAACTGTTAATCACAGCTAAACCAATAGGAGAAAATGAAAAACCTCAAATTACGATAAAGTAAACTAAATTAATCGTTATAAGTTTTAATATTAAAAATTAGATTGAGTAGAGTAGCATATTAGCTTTAAGATAAAGAAAATTAAAAGTTTGCCAAAATTAAAAATTTTTCTATGTTATTACTGTTAATTTTTTATCGAAATTTTTTCAGTGAAATTTGTGAGTTAACTAGTATAAAAAAAGAAGACGTTATTTCAACTCTACAAAATTTAAATTTAATTAATTATTATAAGGGACAATACATAATTACATTGAGCGCTGAAACTATAACAACGCACATGGCTGCCATGGATAAAAGAAAAATTAGAATCGATCCTAAATGTTTACACTGGACACCAAAAGATTGGTCAAGAAGAGTTCATAAATGGTAATTAATAATTTTCTTAGCTTTAAAAATAGGTATCGGAAGTAAATAAGTACAAACGGCCTTTTTTTCAATTCATCAAAAATTTTATGTTTAGGACATTTATATAAAAGTTTTAACTGTAATAATAAATTTTTTTTTTTTCAATTGCGCCTAATCAAGGTTGCTTTGTTTTTATATCACTTTTTTTTTTTTGATTTACTTAAATAATGCTAAATGATTTTATTTTTTAAAAAAAAAATTATTTATAGTGTTATTTATACGCTTATTATTTTCTTATAAAATTAAAATAAGAAATATTTAATAAACACTATATTGGCGTATTTTAAATAATAAAATACTTAAATTATATTGTTCTACTAAATTATATTCCTTAAGGCTAAAATTTTTTTTTACAAATATTGAAACGAAAGTATTTAATCGTGAAATAAATAATAATCTTGTTTCATAAACATTTTCAAATGCTAGTAGATTCGAAGAATGTTAAAAATTTATTTAGGTCCAAGCATTTCTTCAGGTCGAAGCCATTGATTAAATTGTTCTTCCGTCACGTAACCTAATGCTAATGCAGATTCTTTTAAAGTTGTGCCTTCTTTGTGAGCTTTTTTGGCTATAGCGGCAGCCTAAAAAAATTTATTATTATTATTAATTAAATCGTTTTATGTTAATTATATTATGTCAGGTTTATTAAAAAAAAAAAAATACCTTATCGTAACCAATGTGAGGATTAAGAGCAGTAACGAGCATAAGACTTTCATTCATTATTTTAGCTATGTTTTCCTTGTTTGCAACAATTCCTACTACGCAGTTATTTGTAAATGCTTTTGCACTGTCTCCAAGGAGCCTCACTGATCGCAAAACGTTTGAAACCATCATGGGTTTAAAAACATTAAGCTCAAAATGACCATTGGAACCCCCTACTGTAACTGCAACATGATTGCCCATTACTTGGGCAGCGACCATTGTGAGAGCCTCACATTGAGTTGGATTTACTTTGCCTTAAATATTTATTAAAAATTAATATGAATGTTCATTTTAAAAATATCATAAAAAACAAAATTTATAATATTGAATAAACTTCACCAGGCATTATGCTGCTTCCTGGTTCATTTTCTGGAAGACTAAGTTCTCCCAATCCACATCTTGGTCCAGATGCCAAAAATCTAATGTCATTAGCTATTTTCATTAAGCTGCATGCAACAGTATTCAAAGCTCCAGAAACTTCAACCAAAGCATCATGAGCTGCTAAAGCTTCAAATTTGTTTGGTGCAGTCACAAATGGTAAATCTGAAAATTTTGTGGCATTATTTATAAACCTTTTTTTTAATAGACCTGATAAACTACAAGTCAATAATACTTGCTTGTCAATTCTGAAATTTTTGCAGCACATTTTTCAGCAAATCCTTTTCTAGTATTTAGACCAGTGCCTACAGCAGTTCCTCCTAAAGCTAACATATACAGTCTTGGTAAGGTACCTTCTATTCTATTAATACCAAATTCCAATTGTGTTACATAGCCACTAAATTCTTGTCCTAATGTTAAAGGTACAGCATCTTGCAAATGAGTTCTACCAATTTTTATAATATCGGCAAACTAGTGTAAGAAAAATATTAGTTAAAAATGTTTTTAAAAAATTTTTTTTTTTTAAACTAAAACTATACTACATTGTTGTCACCTCTTTTGCTTTACAATCCATTGCATCCCTCAATAATTTTAAATTAGGGAGAAGTAACGAATTGATTTCCATGGCTACAGCTATATGCATTGCAGTAGGAAATGTATCATTGGATGATTGAGATTTGTTAACATGGTCATTTGGGTGTACTGGATCTTTTGAACCTAATTTTCCTCCTAAGAGTTCAATAGCTCTATTACTTATGACCTAAAATTCAAAATGTTGTATTAAATCAGGGCTTAAAGAATTATCAATCTCTGATTATATTTACATAATAATAAATTTAAATTTTTTTTACTTCATTAGTGTTCATATTAGTTTGAGTTCCACTTCCTGTTTGCCAAATAACCAAAGGAAAATGATCATGGTATAATTTGCCACTAATTACATCATCAGCTGCTTTAGATATAGCATCTGAAATTTTTGGGTCTAATCCATAGTCTTTATTCACAATAGCTGCTGCCTTTTTTAAAATGCCCATAGCTGTTATTAAAGGATACTAAAATAAAATAATTATAATAGACTATCAAAATAAATTTTACTTAAAAATATCAACCCATTTATATAATGGTGTCATTTCCTTGACCTTTAAATAAGTAATTCATTTTGAAAAAAATGATAATTTATTTTAATGATATTACATGGTGGAAAAAAAAACTTTTTAATTCAGTATTCGGAGGAAAAATATAATAATAATAATAAAATCTTAAAATTATAACTGGGACAATAAAAAATGAATTTGAATAATGTATATTTTAAACTTACTGGCATTCTTTCAGTTTCACCGCCAATGGGAAAATTGATAGTAGACCTAACTGTTTGAGCTCCATAATATTTATCCTTAGGAACTTTAAGTTCCCCAAAGGTATCTGCTTCTATTCGGTAATCATTCGACTGTGAGTATTACATTTAAAAGAAGAAAAAAAATTTATTTTTATAAAAAATAATGATTTTATACAAGCTAAGTTTCATAAATAGAACTTAAATAATGAATTATTATCTGTAAATTATTTTAATCATTAATAGAAAATACGTACCATATTTACGGTAGAGGAGCTAAAATTCATAGAGCCATTAAATGATAACTGTGGAATATTTTTTTTTAATACGTCAATGGCATACCTCCTGGACTGCTGAGAAAATGGTATTAAGAATGGCATCTTGGAGCAATGGTATTTAAGAAAATTTTAATTTTTTTTTTTTTTGCCTAAAAGATCTAAATATAAAATTTGATTGGTCGCGTCATGGATGACGTAGGAATTACCAATTGGAAACAACTTTTATTTAGTGAGATTAAGATGAGAAGGGAATTTTATTAAGTTGGTAAATTATTCTCAGCTGTCGGATGTTTTAAGGCTGAATTTGTTTAAGAATCGCAACGGAATGACACGATGTGAATACCCTTTATCAATTAAATGATAGGTTTTTGCTACCTGTGCTAACAAATTACTTCTGTTGTGAGTATTCAATTAATTATTTTTTAAACTAAATAAATGCGTGACTGTGATTAGTTTAAAAGTTTTAAGCGTGTGTATTTTCTCATGACTTGATGATTCAGTAGCGGTATTATTTAATAGTGATTTGTGTAAAAAAAAAAAAAAAAAATTAATAATAATAATAATTACTATTACCTCATATAAGTTTTTGCTATCTGCGTATTAAAAATTTTATAATTTTTTACAAAAATTTATCTGTTCAAATTTTAAGGCTATAACAATCGTAAGAAAAATTAAAATTGCGCCTTTTTCACCATTTAAGTTTATTTATCAAAAATGATTTGATGGAAATTTGTAAATATTACATTGCAAATGTTATGAAAATTTAATCACTGTTTAAATTTTACAGTTTAAATGCATCTCAATTTTATTTTATATAGATATTCACTAAATTCAAAATATGATATATTTATTAATGGAACTAAAAAGATGAAAAACATAATTTGCTATATTTTCTAATGCTTTTGATTCTATTCTTCTGTGCACTTTTTTAATTAATACAGTTTTAAATGTATTCATTTAATTTTTTTTTTTTTTTTGATGTACAATTTAAACCTGTACTTAGTTAAAAGTAAAAAATATATATAAACTGCTCTTCTAATTTTTTATCTTATCTTATCTTTTAAATGAAAATCAGATGTTATCAAAATTTTGTCATTACATTTTAGTATAATTAATGGTAATGTAAACTAGTCATAAAGCGCTTATTTGTAAAAAAAAGTTCAGTGTACAAAATTACCATCATTATTACTATTATACTCATTTACTATACAAATTTAATTTTTACTTGCAGGTTTTTTGAAAATGAAAAACATAGTTATATTAAGTCAATGTATGAATGGCTTATAAAAAAAATTTCATTTCTAGTCTCTAACCTCAAATTTGTAACTTAATGAAAAGGCTATTTTGTCTTGTAAAACAAAAAAACTGTTCCTTGTAAATTGCTATAATATGGAACAGGAAACTATTTATGCACAGCCATCAAGTGATCATCTTTTTATGTAAGTACCCAGTAAATTTTTTTTTAAAGTCATTGATACAGTATATGTGAAATAAGTTTATCGCTAAAATTTATTGTGAAAAATGGTTGACGAATGATGGAAGTTTGACGAATTTACAACAAAACAAAACGTAGTTTGAAAGTTATTAAGTACACATAAGAAAGTATTATTGAATATTTTTTGTATTTTTGTAAATCAAGAATAAATGTATATGCTTGATAAAAATAATATGAATTAAGGAAATAATTAAAAACAAACTCAAGTTTGTATTTTAAAATATATTACTGTTTATAATACTTAATTTGATGTATTCATTAATTTTATGAATTTAAAATTAATGACTTATGTGTCTCTTAATGAAATTTTTTAAATTTTAGACGAGTTTTAAAAAGGTGCAAATCATTTTTTCGTGTAATATTTGTTATTATCAATAATGTGTACTGTATTCCTACATATGTTGTATGGATGATGATGTTATATCCTGTTAAAAAATGTCATCCAGATTTGTACTATCGTATAGAAGGTTTATTTTTTCATTGGCTTCTTGCTATGGTTGCTATGTGGAGTTGGTCTGCTGGTTACGACAGTAAGATAATGTTTTAACAATAATTATTTCATGAGTACTTTACATAATAAAATGATTTTAAAAAATTATTATTATATTTATTCAATATTGAATATATATTATAAATAATAATTTATAATATATAATATTATGAATAATTTTTTTTTTTTAACTATCATTAAATTATTATTTATTTATTTTTCAGTTGTTGAAATGGGAGACGACATTGGAGTTTGTTTGGAAGAACGTACCTTAGTTCTTGCCAATCATCAATCAACAGCTGATGTTCCATTGTTAATGGCAACATTTAATGCTAAGAAAAATGTTTTACCTCACCTTATGTGGATAATGGATCGTGTTTTTAAATTTACCAATTTTGGAATTGTTTCTGTACTTCACGAAGACTTTTTTATAGTTTCAGTAAGTATATATATTTTTTACTTAATTATACATGTTTATTAAAATTAATATTTAAATTGTTTTTAAAAACAGTGTTTATTAATGTAATTAACAATTATTTCTGTTTTAATAATTTATTTTATTTAAATTTTTATAGGGTAAAAATCGTAGGGAAGAATCTCTTCAAAGTTTAGCAAAACATTTACACAGTTCATTTATTCCGAGGCAAAGAAAATGGATTGTGCTTTTTCCAGAGGGCGGGTTCCTTCGGAAAAGAAGAATTACTAGTCAAAGGTTAAATGCAAATAATTAGATTGGTTTTTTTTTTTTTTTTTTTTAATTTTAAGTTTTATATATATATATGTTTGTGAATTGTTTTATTTTAGATATGCAGAAAAAAACAATTTGCCGATATTAAAAAACGTTTCATTACCAAGGGTGGGAGCTTTGCAAGTAATTATGGAAAATTTGGGACATGTAGATAATGTTAGTGACAGTGATGAATCTGAATCTGAAAATCAGAAAATAAAAAGCAATAGTTTTATTACAAAAAAGGGAACAACATCAAAGAATGCTGATATGCAATGTTCTACTGATGAAATTAAAGTATCTAACTCCACCAACAACCATTCGATTACAGGTTAATATATTTTGAATAATATTTCTTTTGGTATTATTCATATATTTTTTTCATTTTAATTAATGGTCATGTACACCTGTGTAATCTATTTATAATTTTAAATGAAAATAGACGGTGCCAGAATAAGATGGATTTTGGATATAACAATAGCATATCCTCAAGGCGTGCCTTTAGATTTGCCAACGATAATAACAGGATCTAGACCGCCATGTCAAACACTTTTATTTTACAGATTGTACAAAAGCTCTCAGGTAGTCAATTTGCACTTTTTTTTTTTTTTTTCCTCGTGAAGACTTTTTTTTTCTTTTTTTTTAATTATTGTTAAAATAATAATTATTTGCAGATTCCTGATGGGAAAGAGGAAATGACCAATTGGTTGTATAAAATTTTTCAAGAAAAAGAAGAAATGTTGGAAAAATTTTACGCCACTGGAGTTTTTCCCGTAAAAGATTTTTGCCGGTTTCCCAGTCCTAATCGTCTTATAATTCAAGACAATTTGAGGTTTTTTATTTTACATTTGTTTTTTATAACTTCTACATATGTGCATTATCATATGTTTTCCACAATTTTCCGATATATGTGGTGAGTGATGATTTTCATAATTTTTATTTCTATTTGTTTATTTAAGTGTTCATTGAATCCATCCAATTTGAAAATTTTTTTTTCCAGGGATAAAATATCAATTAACCTTTGATTTTTAAGAAATTTGAAAGAGAAAAAAAAAGAAGCTATGAAGAAAACGTTGAAGAATATTCAATAAATGTGTGAACACTAATAGCTAATATCTATTATATATAATAATAATAATAAAAATAAGAAGAAGAAATAATGATTTAAAGAAAACATCATTAATAATTGGAAAAATTGTTTTGAACAGTAAAATATTATCTAAGGCGCACAATGTCAACTGGTAGATTCTACAAGGTATAAAAAAAGAAAAGAGTGTAAATATTTACCCGAATCTGCTAGTTTTGATTTTGTTTTTTTTTTTTTTTTTTTTTTTTGAACTTCCACCAAGTCTACCTTACACTTTTAAATTTTAATTATTTAATTTTTCATAAATTTATTATTAATTTAGCGAACACTAACCAAATTTTAGAAAAAAAAAAAAAAAAATAGTCAGCAAATTTTTTTTTTTTTATAAATATTTCTTTTTTTTTTTTCGAATGTTAAGTCGTTATATTATTTTGAATATTTTTTTACCTCTGAATTTTTGAATCGAATAAGAAACCATTTTTATTTTTATTATTATTTTTTGTTTTTTGATTTTCTTTAAAAAAAAATAATTTTTTACAAGTCAGTATTCAATGTTATATTTATTATGACAGTTATTAAAAATTCAGTTTTACAATCTTATACGTTATATAAATCTATATATATATTTATACATAAGTATAAAATGTTGAGTGTGTGTGTGTGCGTGTGTGCGTGTGGGTGGTTGTATTGCACATTTTGTAGTATTTGGCAGTAAAACTAATTCAGCTTTCTCATAATTAATTACACATAAAAAAACCTAATTCAAAATATATCAAAAATAATTTAATGTTTTGTAAAAAATGTTTTTTTTTTCTCTCTCTCTTTCTCTCTCTCTGAAATATTTATATTAATATATATATATAGGAAAAAAATTGAATGTTATGAAAAATTAAAAAATTTTTAAAGTTATTGAAATTTTTTAAAATTTAAATTTAATTTATTTGATTTCTTTATACAATTAAGTT